ACATGCAAAAAAATGAAACTAGATCACCAACTTACACCATACACAAAAATCAACTCAAGATGGATAAAGGATTTAACCCTTTGCGGTCCAATGTTATTTTTGGAATTCAAACAGTCTGGTCCAAATTAATTGACGGGACTGAATGTTGAACTTTTTAATGTTCTTATTGCTCGACGTTGGACCTGATCCTAGCAACTGTCTGTCGAGTCAACCTCGAGGTTGGACCGAAAAGGGTTAAACGTAAGACGGGAAACCATAAAAATCTTAGAAGAATCCACAGGTAGCAAAATATCAAACATATGTTGTAGCAATATCTTTACCGAGACAGCTCCTAGGACAATGAAAACTAAGGAAAAATAAACAAATGGGACTACATCAAATGAAAAGCTTCTGCACAGCAAAAGAAACCATCAACAAAACAAGAAATCCCACTGCATGGGAGAACATATTTGCCAATGCTATTTCAGATAAGGGTTTAATCTCCAACATTTACCGGAACCTCATACAACTTAACAAAAGGAGGACAAATAACCCGATCAAAAAATGGGCAACAGAAGTAAATAGATACTTTTCGAAAGAAGACATAAGGAAGGCCAAGAGACATATTAAAATATGCTCAAAGTCACTAAACTCCCATTTGACCCTGTGATCCCACTTCTAGGAATATATCCCAAGAAATCAGAAACACCAATCAGAAAGGATATATGCACCCCTATGTTCATAGCAGCACAATTTACAATAGCTAAGATTTGGAAACAGCCTAAGTGCCCATCAGAAGATGAGTGGATTAAAAAACTGTGGTACATCTTCACAATGGAATATGCGCTGCTGTAAAAAAGAAAGACCTCTTACCATACGCAATAGCAAGGATGGACACGGAGAGCATTATGCTAAGCTAAGTCAGTCGGAGAAAGATAATACCACATGATCTCACTCAGTTGTGCAATATAATGAACAACATAAACTGATGAACAAAAATAGATCCAGAGACAGAGAGGTATCAAACAGACCGTCAAGCGTCAGAGGGAAGGTAGTGAAGGGGCAGGGAGGGAAGCAGGTAACACATCAACCAAAGAAGTGGTATGCATGCATATAAGCATAACCAATGGACACAGACACTAGGAGGGTGAGGGCATGTGCTGGGGGTGGGAGGGGCCAGGAAAAGGTCAATGGGGAGAAAGGAAGACATTTGTAGTACTTTAAATAATAAAGAATTTTAAAAATAATAAAATAAATTTATATTCTATTTAATTTGTAGAGAGTATTCTGATGTTTGCAAGTAAGAATCCTAACTTAAAGTTATTAAAGGGCGTATAAGAAAATGATAATTATGTAACACACTAGAATAAATAAAGCAACCAGTGGCTGGAGGCAACCAGCTCTATAGCTAATAATTTCCCTTGGTCTTGCCTGGCCACTCAAACATCAGTATATTAAGAGCATACCTGTCATATAATTATGGAACACCATGTGCAAAAATGCAATAGCTGGGAATCTGTGCTCTAGATAGTGCCAAATTACTCTCAATTTATACTCCAGTAGTGCATGATATCACAGAACTTTCCAAATTGTTCCAATCTTACTGGTATAAAATTATATCCTATTGTTCTTAAACCTGCATGTTTCTATTACTAGTGACAATCTTCTAATTTGGATTTACTCATTTATGAATTACTAGCTTCATATTAAGTGGGAAAATATTTAACTTAAAATTTTAACATAATTGAAGCTAAAAGGAATTCAAAGTATTAAGTGTCAAAGAAATAACCATTAAAAGTCATAGGTATAGGTTTCCAATAAAAAGCTTACGTTTTGCTAGTTGCCTAAAAGGTAAAGACATTAATTAGGTAAATTACAAATTTTTATGGTTAATTTACTACTATGTATCCTCCACATATAACTTATCTGAACAAAAGACGGCTTTTGTGTTTTAGTTTGCAATTTCAGTTCTTTAAAATAAATTTAATTTAATTATATGATGTGAGTAAAACTAACATAAATGAAACATTCTTTCTTCATGTTTCTGTATCAACTGGGGAGAAAATAAGACTATGAATCAAAACAACTGGTTTCTAATCTTATCTTTGGTTTAAACTTCTGTTAGCTTTAGTTTACTCATCAGTAAAATAAATATCAACCCATCACACTGGGTTTTATGTTTTAAGAATTTTACTTAACCTTCTCTGTGAAATACTCTATAATACAGATGTTGATAAAAAGACATTTCCCAGGCCTCAAGGAGCCTTTTTGTGATTTTTTCCAATGGACTCAGTAGTAGTAGAATAGGATAAATAAGTTCTATGAGATGTAAACAAAAAGAAATGATAATTGAAAAGCCCAAAGGAATCAGTAAACTGGTAAACGTTTTCAGAGGGTGTAATTCTTAAATTAAAATAAATAGGAATTAAAGAGGAAAGGTGGGAAGAGAGGGCAGAGTGGAACCAGAAAGCAAGATATGCACAAATTCAAGTTGAGAACTGAATCCTAAACAAAAGAATAAAATGAAATACTATAGTGCTTTCAGAAGGAAAAAGAAAATACTCTATTATTATTATTGATAAAAACTGCCAGAACAGCTGACTACATTAATGGTAGGAAAAAAAGAATTAAGTTGTTAAAATGTACCACACAACCAGGTTGATAAGCAGGCAAAATCTAGACCCATACAATAAATTTAGAAACTGTTTTTCCTACATATTTTCTTTTCTGCATTAACTTGTATTTGGAACTGCTACCTTCTCCCAAAAGTGATACCAACTCCTAAAAACAAACACAAAAATCACATTTATTTTAAATATACACATTAATTTTTTTAAAGCCCTAAAAGTAGAGGCCAGTGACACAAAAACACTGTTCAAAGTAATTCTCAATTTAGCTTATCGAGGCTATCCTGAAATGTTTGCCCTGCAAAAAATTCCTTCCCCAAGTAACATATACAAGAGACCTAAACGTAGTTGCTTTCATATGAATAACTTTAGCTTACAGAAAATAAGATAGTTAAATAACTCATAGAAAGCATATCCCCCCCAAATAAAACCCTTTCCACATATGAGTTTAAACAACATGATATTCCTAAATGTTTTTGACTTTTTGGCATTTTAGGAGATACTTCATAAAGATATATTATCATATATCTATTGCAAAAAAACAACAACAAAACCCATAAAGATAGAAGTGAGAAAAAAAATCTTTAGATTCAAAGTCAGGTAGGAATAAACTGTAGCAAAAAAGCCTGCCTGTAGCTAAATATATTGAAATAGAAAGCATCCACAAAAACACACTGAAGGAGAAAACATCTATGTAAATAGCCAACAAAGAACAGAAAAGCAGATAAATATAAAAAAATCTAGCTATTCATTTAACACTATATTCAGAATATTTTTTTATGTTTTTTAAAACTGATTTCAGAGAGAGGGAGAGGGAGAGATACAAACATCAATGATGAGAATCATTGATCGGATGTGTCCTGTATGCCCTTCCCCCCCCCCCCCGGGGCGGCAGGCACACACCCACCTTCTTGAAGACCAGGATGTATCACTTGCTTATGCCTCAAGGCTTTCAAATCTTCTATCAATTCTTTTTCCAACTGGGAAATTCTTGCTCTGCAACCTATTCAGAAAACAAATAATGATAAAGTAGAATAGTACGTACTACAGAAAAACGTATGTACTACAGAAAAATGAATATTGCATATTTCATTTCAAGAGCCAAATCCCAAATATATCTCTTTTTATATCATTATATAATACCTGGGTCATTTGTGCTTGATGCCTGAAGACTAGAGGGCTCTTCTGTTGTCCCATCAACTGCATGAATGTCTAGAGCTTCCTATATATAAAACAAAAATGTAGCTCATATCACTTCTAAAAGTTTAAAAGTAAACCAGAAACATTTTTCGTTTTGATATTTTGATATTTTCTAAATATTACATCACTTTAATAATCAGAAGAAAAAGCAAATTATCTGAATATATTCAGCTAACTGATCTAAACTATATTATGCCAATTTGCATAAAGACTTCTTAAAGTTTACATAAAGATAAGCTACATATAGGTAGCTTAAGACCCAGTAGAAAGAATTCAACCTCTGTGTAGCCAATTTAGAACTACAGATTAGGCTTCTATAAAAATCTAAACGAAAAGTAATCTAATTAAAATGTAGGAGTAAAATAAAGAAACCATTGATGGTGTAAAACAGCATAATTAATAAGACCATTAATACGTGGTTCTCCAGTGGCACTCTGCTGTTCCTGATAAAAATCAGGGGATTGTCCTAGACGGTATAGCTCAGTTGTTAGAGCGCCAGCTCAGACACCAAAGGATCTCGGGTTTGATTACAGGTCAAGGGCACATACTTGGGTTGCAGGTTTGATCCCTGCCCTGGTCAAAGCGCATGGGGGAGGCAACAATGGATGTGTCTTTCTCACATTGATGTTTCTTTCTCTCTCTCTCTCTTGCTCTCTCTCTCTCTCTCTCTCTCTCTCCTCCCCCACTCCTTCCCCATCCCCCTCTTTTCCTCCCTTCCATTCTCTCTCTCTTAAAAATAAGTAAATGGAAAAAATATACTCAGAGGACTAACAACAACAAAAACGGAAAAAAGAAATCTGGGGAGCCCAGCCAGCTTGGCTCAGTGGTTGAACTTTTACCTGTGGACCAGGAAATCAGGGCATATTCCTGGGTTGTGGCTTGATCCCCAGTGTAGGGCATACAGGAGACAGCTGATCAATGATTCTCTCTCATTACTGATGTTTCTATCTCTCTCACCCGTCCTCTGAAATCAATAAAATATATATATATAAAAAAAAAAATCAGGGGATAAGGTATCCCAAAAAAGTTAGTAAACTTTTCATGTACTTATGCCTTTTTAAAGTCCATAATAATGAAAATTCCAGTTAAGATCTGAAGATTTTTTTAAATTCCAGCTACACTGCACAAAAATCATGAATGCATATCAAAGCAGACATAAATTTTATCTTTACTGTTGAAAGCATTACAGATACCCCATTCTCCCCCACCCCCAATGACCTCTTCTAGCCCACACTAGCCTCCTGTCCCTAGGCCTTCACCACACTATTATCTGTGTCCATGGGTTATGCATATAAGCATATAAATTATTTGGTTAATCTCTTTCCACCCACCCACATGTGCCTTCCCTCTAAGATTCAAAAGGTAGACATATATTTTTAAGTTCATTCACACAAAATATCATGACACCTATTAACTAAACCAAACATTTTGGAGACACTCAGTTCCCCATGCACACATCCTCCTCACATAATGGATGCATTCACAAAAACTAGATTGTAAATTGGTTATAGCCAGGTATACAATTCAGTAATAATTACTTGGCCTTAGAAAGAATGCTGAAATAACAATCTTACCTTCGATTCAAAGGAAACAAAGAGAACACCATCCACGTCTTCCAGATCAGGCTTCACATCTGGAAAGGTACTCCCAGAGCCCATAGGAATGCTCTTGGTAGAAGTTAAAGATTTTCCCGTGTTTTTAGGTGGTCGCCCTGCCTTAGAGAGTTTCAATTTTCGTGGCCTTCCTCTTTTTCCACTGACATTTGTAGGGGCATTCTGATTAGTATTCACAGTCTTGGAAGCTGCAGCAATCTTAAGCATAGTTGCTTTCTTTCTGCCCAAGTCCTCTTTTGCTAAAAATGAGTCCCCAGGGGAACTCTTTGAACTGTCAATTATTCTTTCTGTATTCATGCAGTCAGAAATATCAGGATATTTCCATTGAGGCTCTTTAAGTAAAGGATATTTTTGTACCACTCTGAGATCTGGTGAATATTTTCTAAAACCATTTTCTGATTCCTTGCCTAAGCAGAAGTCAGCCTCATTGGAATTTTCAATGTATGTAGGCAAATAGTCTAATTCTGTCAACATAGATTTATCCTTCCGAGATGTCGAAATCATGTTATCAGGGAGCTCAGAAATCTTCACTGTGCTTTTGGTGACAGCACAGGGCTCCAGACAAACTACTGGCATCTTTCCAGCATCTAATTTGAACATTTGAGCTTTAGCGACACCTGATGGGCTATTTGGTAGCCATTTAGAAGACGGATGGTCAGCTTCTAGGTTATCAATTTTATTGTGCCTCTTTAGCTGTTTCTCTAATATAGGATCATCATCACTGTTTGAGTATACATCTGTTTCCTCATCCGTCTCTTCCTGTTTCACAGTGACCCCTTCTGGAAACTCACCAAGGTCATAGTCGTAATCATCTAGAGGTTCCTCTTTAATGACAACATTGAAATTTCCATTTGGGTCTACTGGTGATGCTACATGGGTACTGTCTTCAAAACTGTTGGCAACATGTCTGGAGAGACAGAGAAGGGAGGGTTAAAAAGGACAGTCCTTCCATAAATAAGACTCAGGAGAGAAACAAAAGGTTTTTAAAAACCAAGTAACATCAGATTTTGTAAGAGAAACACTTTGTAGAACTTAAGGATCTCAAAAGCACTTTATCAACATCACACTTTTATATTTTCTGTCAATTTCTCACAAAAGTATATATATATAATAAAGAGTAAAGTTTTTGTTTTTGTTTTATATGTATATTTTTTATTGGTTTCAAAGAGAGAAAGGGAGAGGGAGAGAGAGACAGAAACATCAATGATGAAAGAAAATCAATTGGCTTCCTCCTGCACAACCCCCACTGGGGGATCAAGCCCCGAAAACCGGGCACAAAATCCAGGCATATGCCCCGATCAGGAATCAAACTGTGACCACATGGTTCATGGGTAGACACTCAACAACAAGCCAAATCAGCCGGGCATAAAGAGCAAAGTTTTAACAAGCAACTTTTTGATTTATCACTAAATCAAAAAGTTATGACTTATTTTCCTAACTAGAGGCCCAGTGCACATTCATGCATTGGGGCAGGGCGGTGGGGTGTCCCCTCAGCCCAGCCTGTGCCCTTTAGCAGTCCAGGAGCCCTCAGGGGACGTCCAACTGATAGCTTAGGCCCGCTCCCCATAGGCACATCCTTAGCTCTGCCTCGGAGGACATCTGTTGGACATCCTTAGCTCTGCCTCGGAGGCGGGAGAGGCTACTGTCACTGCCACTGTACTCGCCAGCCATCAACATGGCTTGTGGCTGAGTGGCACTCCCGTGTGGGAGTGAACTCACCACCAGGGGGCAGCTCCTGCATTGAGCGTCTGCCCCCAGGTGTTCAGTGAGCATCATAGCGACCGGTCATTCCGCCATTCAGTCAATTTGCATATTACTCTTTTATTATATAGGATAGTATTTTTCAGATACACTCAATTTTGAAAGTCAACTAGCACTGAACCAAAATCAAACTCAAGAGAGCTTCAGTGATTAACAATTGCCAATAAAAGCAAACAAATGTCAGCTGCAATTAAGAATTGCACTAAATATCAGGAAGGGCTTTACAAACTGCCTGCTTGATTTTTCCTTTTTAAAAATTAAGACAAAAATCATAACATAAAATATAACACTCTCAAATATATATATCACTCTCACCACTTTAAAATGTGCATTCCAGTAGTACCTTTTTAGTATATTCACAATGTTATTGCCTAGTGGTTTTAAAGTTGAAAAACTCACTTTCAATATAAAAAGTCTAACATTAATTCTTCCAAAATAAAAAGGTAGGGTAGTTGAAGGCAAGTACATATGACCCATTCTGATTGAGTTTATATAAGTCTTAAAAAAACACAAACATTTTTTAGTTTCCCACTCTTCCCAATTAACCATTAAAAGCATATAAACTGTACCAATGTACCTTAAGGATGTGTTCGAACTATTCACTAACTCAATTAAAGTCACTGTCTTTGTAAAACTTTCATTTATCTCAAATATGCATAAGCAATCATTTACATTACTGTGTAGTTACTTGTTCCTTGTACAACTTAAGATCTTGACCTTACTTAAAAATCCTTCAATAGAAGACTTTCACTTCCAGTTAAAATGTTGAAGATCACAAAGATCATCACTTCTGCCATAACAATGAGAAAACACTAGATAAATTAAAAACCCAATTTTCTTTTAAAGCCATTGAAGACCTCTGGACACAAATAAGTCTAAATGAACTGAATTTCAGAGAGGAACCAACCTTCTCTAGGTGACAGATTGCTAATGCTTTCAACACTGAGTAGCATTTACACTGCTTGAAGCACAAGTGAACAGAGAAAAAAGCAACTCTAGGAAAAAAATCTTTGTTGGGACACAGAGAAACCAGTCTCTTTTCATGCCTGAGGATGAGCACACTAGAATCTGGAGGACCCCCAAAAAGAAAACTAGTCCTCATTCCCACCAATTATCCTCCAGGGGACTTCTGAAAAATAAGCAGAAGTGATGAAGCAAGGTTGGCCTGAAAACAGAGAACTTGTAGTCTCCTAGCGCTTAGATCCCAAGCCCAATCCCACCCTCAACATCTCAAATGTGAGGTGAGCTAAAATTTAATAAAGTAAATCACCTAAACAGAAAAATAGGGGGATGGGGGGAGTGTGTCAGAGACCTGTGAGACAATAACAAATTATCTGACAAATAAGAAATAAAATGGAAGGAAAAAGGAGAACCATTTGAAAAGAAAATGAATCAACAACTCCAAAAGTTAAAGACGTTAATCCACATATTCAAGAAGTTTAGCAAACACCAAGGGGAACAAATACAAAGAAAGCCATGTATAGGCATGTAAAGGCTAGGCTGCTGAAAATTAAAGACCAAGAGAAAAACCTTATAAGCAGCGGAGAAAAAAATGACATTACACTGGAGGATCAACAATGAGAACAATAGACTGACTACTCATTGGAAATAATGAAGCCAGAAGACAGTAGAATGACACCCATCATAAAGTATTGAAAGGGTCAACTTAATGTTCTGGATCTAGCAAAAGAAGCCTTTACACCTGAAAACATTTTTAGACAACTGAGAGAACTCAGACTGTACAAGAAATACTATCTCCTAAGATCAGAAACAAGACAAGGATGTTAGCTCTCACTACTTCTACTCAATTGTACAAGAGGTTCTACAAAGGTAATCAGGCAAGAAAAATAAATAAAAGACCTCCAGATTAAAAAGGAAGAAGTAAAATTCTACAAATATCCCATGTGACCAAATATCCCATTTTATGTAGACAATTCTTAAAAATCCACTAAAAAAACTACTGGTATAAATTAGTTGGGCAAGACTGAAGAATCCAAGATCAATTCACACGCAAAAAAATTCTATTTCTACACACTAGGAATAAATGTCAAAAGTAAAATCAAGAAAACAATTACATTTACAATAGCATCAACAAGAATAAAATACTTAGGAATAAGTTGTATAAGACTTGTACACACACACACACACACACACACAAAACTACAGAACAGCCCAGCCAGGTATGGCTCAGCAGCTGAGCATCAAATCCAAGAACGAAGAGGTCACCGGTTCGATTCCCAGTCACGGCACACAACCCAGGTTGTGGGCTCAATCCCCAGTGAGGGGCCTGCGGGAGGCAGCCGATCAATGATTCTCTCTCATCATTGATATTTCTATCTTTTTCTCTCTTCTTCTTCTCTGAAATTAATAAAAAATATTTTATAAAAAAACTACAAAACATTGCTGAAAGATATTAAAGATGACTTTAAAAAAGGACAAATATCCCATTTTTATACACTGGGAGACTTAATATTGGTAAGATAGCAATATTCCCTGAAAATTATCTGCAGTGTTTTTTGTTTTTTAATGATCTGCCGTTTTAATACAATCTCCCACGTCAAGATCCACCTGGGATTTTTTGGGAAAATGACAAATTGATCCTACAATTAATAAGAAAATGAAAGAGAACCCAAAAGAGCCCCCCAAAATCTTGAAAAATAAAAAGTTCTCTGAGGACCCATAGTTCCCAATTTCAAAACTTACTACAAAGCTACAGTAATCAAAACAGTGTTATACAGCTTAAGGCTAAATATCCAGATCAACTGAACAGAATTCAGAGTCTAGTAATAAGCACACACATTTATATAAACTGATTTTTTCAATTGCCAAAAGTACCAAGACAATTCAATGGGGATAAGAATGGGCTTATCACCACCCAAAACTGTTTCCACATGAAAACTTGACACAAATGTTCATGGCAACATTATTCTTTTTTTTTTTTTTAAATATATTTTATTGATTTTTTACAGAGAGGAAGGGAGTGAGAGATAGTTAGAAACATCGATGAGAGAGAAACATCGATCAGCCGCCTCCTGCACATCTCCTACTGGGGATGTGCCCGCAACCGAGGTACATGCCCTTGACCGGAATCGAACCTGGGACCTTTCAGTCCGCAGGCCGACGCTCTATCCCACTGAGCCAAACCGGTTTCGGCGGCAACATTATTCTTAATAGCAAAGTAGTGGAAACTTTAATGTCTATCAACTGATGAATGGATAAAATGTTTTATCTACACAATATTATTCAGCAATAAAAGGAATGAGATATGGATACATGCTACAACATGGATGAACTTTGAAAACATTACAATAAGTAAAAGAAACTAAGCACAAAAAACTACATGTAATTCCATTTATACAAAATAGGCAAATCTAAAACAAAAAGGAGACTGGTGGTCACGGATGACTGAGGTGGGGTTGAGGAGTGGCTGAGAAAAAATGGGGAGTGACTAATAGAGAGCACAGGGGTGTGTGTCTGTTTGTTTGTTTTGGGGGGAGATGAAAATGTCGTAAAAATGACTGTGTTCATAGCTACACAATTCTGTAAATATACTAAAAACCATTGAAATATACACTTTAAAGCAGGTGTGGGGAACGTCCGGCAGGGCATATAAGGCCTGCAAAATCAGTTGGTCTGGCCTTGCCAAGGCACTAAAGGTGAGTTAATTAAGTGTTTGACCAAGTATAGCAGGCTAATTTTTAAGTAGATAAGTTTGTATGGTCTGAGAATGAGGTTATATAAATATCCAAATGGCCCTTGGCAGAAAAAAGGTTCCCACCCGTTTTACAGGGTGAAATTATTACAATGAATTACATCTCAAAGGAAGTTTTTCAGACTGATAGGAAATGAACCAATATCCAAGAACAAATGAAAAGACCCAGGAAAAAATAAATACATGAGTAAATACAAAAGACTGTTTTTCTTATACTTCTTTAAATGACTACTGACTGTTGAAAGCAAAATAATGTTTTGGGGGTTTATAGCATATATAAGGACATGAACTATAAGGACATTAGCTGTTCATGAACTGTTATATATTAATTCAAGTTCACTTGAGAAATTAAGAACGCATATTATAACCTCTGTAACTACTGTTATGGATTAAACTGTGTCCCTTCCAAATTCATACACTGAAACCCTACTTAT